TATTTTAACAATATTAAGTCTTACAATCCATGAACATGGGATGTCTTTCCATTTATTGGAGTTGTCTTTAATTTCTTTCGTCAGTTTTTAAAAATAGTTTTTAGTGTATAAGGCTTTCATCTCCTTAGTTTGGTTTAATAAGTATTTTATTCTTTTTAATGTTTTTGTAAGTGGAATGTTTTCTTAATTTCCTATTTGGATAGTTTGTTCTTAGTGTGTGGAACATAGCTGATTTTTGTATGCTGATTTTTGTATCCTAACTTTATTGACTTCGTTAGTTCTAGCAGGGTTTTTTTTTGTGTGTGGAGTCTTTAGTTTAGTTTTTTTTTTTTTTTGAGATGGAGTTTCGCTCTTGTTACCCAGGCTGGAGTGCAATGGCGCAATCTTGGCTCACTGCAACCTCCGCCTCCTGGGTTCAGGCAATTCTCCTGCCTCAGCCTCCTGAGTAGCTGGGATTACAGGCACGCGCCACTATGCCCAGCTGATTTTTTGTATTTTTAGTAGAGATAGGGTTTCACCATGTTGACCAGGATGGTCTCGATCTCTTGATCTCATGATCCACCCGCCTCGGCCTCCCAAAGTGCTGGGATTACAGGCGTGAGCCACCGCACCCAGCCTGAGTCTTTAGTTTTCTACTTACAAGATTATATCATCTGAAAAGATAAATCATTTTCCTTCTTTCTGATTTCAGTGCCTTTTATTTCTTTCTCTTGCCTAATTGCCCTGGCTAGGACTTCCAGTGCTATGTTGAACAGAAGTGGCAAGATTGGACATCCTTGCCTTGTTCCTGCACTTACAGGAAAAAATTTTTGTTTTTCACTATGAAATGTGATGCTAGCTGTAGACTTTTCATATATAACCATAATTATGTTGAGATAATTTTTTTCTATTTCTAGTATTTGAGAGTTTTTATCATGAAAGGGTGTTTAATTTTGTCAAGTGCTTTTTCTGCATCTATAGAGATAATCATGTGATTTTTTATTCTGTTAATGTGGTGTATCACATTAATACATTAATTGATTTTTGTGTGTTGAACCATTCTTGATTACAAGGAAAAAATTCTCCTTTGTCATAAGTTGTGATCCTTTTAATGTGCTCTTGAATTTGGTTTGCTAGTATTTTGTTAAGAATTTTTGCATTTTTGTTCATCAGGGATATTGGCCTGTAATTTTTTTTTGTAGTGTCTTTGGCATAGGTATCAGGTTAATACTAGCCTCATAGAATAAGTTTGGAAGTGTTCCCTCCTCAATTTTTTGGAAGAGTTTGAGAGTGATTGACATTAATTCTTTAAATGTTTTTGGTAGCATTCACCAGTGAAGTCATCTGGTTCTAGGCTTTTTTTTGTTGGGAGGTTTTTTTTATTATTGATTCAATCCCATTAGTTGTAGATCTGTTCATATTTTCTATTTTTTTATTATTCAGTCGTGGTGGCTTATATATTTCTTGGAGTTTGTCCAGTCCTATGTTATCCAATTCGTGGTAGTATAATTTTTCAGAGTAGTCTCTTAGTGATCCTTTGTATGGTATCAGTTATAATGATGTGTTGTAATGTGTCCTCTTTCATTTCTGATTTTGTTGACTTAAATCTTTTTTCTTAATTACTCTGAAGATTTGTCAGTTTTGTAAATTTTTTCCAAAAAAAGCTATTAGTTTCAAATTTTTTTTTCTATTTTTTAAATTCTCACCTTTATTTCTGCTTCAATCTTTATTATTTCCTTCCTTCTGCTAACTTTGGGCTTCTTTTTTTCTTTTTTTTTTTTTATTTTAGATCCTACAGGTATAAGATTAGGTTGTTTGTTTTCTTTTGTCTTCTTTTTTTTAAATGCAGGTGTTGATCACTATAAACTATCCTCTTAGAAGCACTTTTGCTGTAGCCCATCGGTTTTGTTATATTGTGTTTTCATTTTCATTTGTCTTAAGATGATTTTCCTTTCTTTTTTTCCTTTGACCCATAGGCTGTTCAGGAGCATATTGTTTGAGAATGTGCTTCAGAATTTCTGTTTGGTACCTCTTTACATTTTCTGAGTCTTTGTTGAAATTCTGACATTGTTCATGTGTTGTTCTGACCTCATTGAGTGTCTTTATGATGGTTATTTTGAATTCTCTTTGTCAGATAAATAATATATTTCCCTTTCATTAGGGTCAGTTTCTGAAGATTTATCTTGTTCTTTTGTTACATATTTCTCTGTTTATTTTTTGACTCTTATTGTTGATATCTACACATTAGGAAAAAACAGCAACCTCTCTTAGTCTTTACAGACTCTGTACAGAAGAAGATCTTCACTAGTCAGCACAGCAGAGATTCTGAGAATCTCTCAAACTTTCATGCTAGTACAAACTGCTATTTTTGTTCTTAGCAGTCCCTAGGCATCTAGGGTTCTATCTGTTCCATCTGGTCCATATGCTGTGTCCTATCAGTGCTCCAAGACAGATGAGACAGAAACCAGTCCCTTGGGCAACCCTCAGAAATGTTAGAATGTTGGACATGTGATCTACCGCTTCTCCCCCAGCCCTGCCGTGGGAGAAGCTGGGCTCTGGAGTTTTTCTCCAACTCATTTCATGCGGAGCCTTAGGGAGTGAGTATGGCAACTGCTTGTGTGCTTGTTCAAACTGCTGTTGCTGGTATCACTGGCCCCGTCATCTAGAGTGTTCTAGATTCCATCAGTGCTACAAAGGTGTCAAGACAAAAGCCATTTCCTAGGGCAGCTCTTAGAAAAGTTGGAATGTTAGATACACAAGCCAACTTTTTCCTTCCTTAAGGAGTGGTGGGGAGCTGCAGGTTCTTATGATCGTATGGTGCTCTATCGGAGGTACATAATTGCTCTTGGAGATTATGGTGAGAGGGCATCTCCAATTTTTTACCAGTTTTGATGTGGCTTGTTTCATACTTGTACAGGTGCAGAGCATTGCACCTAGTTTCAGGATTTCTCACAAAGGGGATTTGTATATTATTGTTGAATCAATATGTTTATATGGGGAAGGAGGGTTCAGGGCTTCCTATTTTTCCATCTTGCTGATGTGCACCCTGTTACTTATTTTTCCTAAGTTGGAAAAATGTAAATCAAATACTCATTTTGGAAACGTAATTATCTGACTTTAACGGGTCTTTGAACTGGATTTGAGAAATATAGACAAACTCAACACGCTTATCTTAACATTAAAGTAGACATCTCAAGTCCCTTTTTAATATTTTTAGTTTGGAATACTTTCTAGTCTGTTGGGATAATTAATTTCTTTTTTATTTCTGCTTATCAAATATTACTTTAAAGATTCCCTTCAACTGTGTTACTTAGAGATTGAATAGGGAAATATTTTGTCTTTCGATTAACAGTTTTAGGCTTAAAAAAATTAGATAAGTATGCTTTTTGCTTGTATAGCAGGCAGACTTCATATTAGATAATTCATGAATTTGTAGTCCATTGAAATGTTTATCTTCCAGTTTTCAGAGGGTTTTTTTGTGTTAGAATTCTTTCAAATCATTTTATATTTTAATGGATTATTTTAGAAGAATACTTGTTACCCTCAGCTTGTATTTTTATTGTGAATATGATTACCTATTATTGAGGGGCATATTCCTGTGTGTATTTCTAATTCAGTATCAAATAATTATTTTTGTGTAGGTATGTATGTTACACACATATTTTATACATAAGCACGCACACATCTTGCATATATAGATATGTACTTATATGTGTACAAACGTGAATCATATTCATGTTTGTGATATACATTTATCTTGTATATTCCTGTTTATATACATATAAATGTGTATATCCATATCTGTGCAGTAGTGTATAAAGTACCATGACTTCTTTTCAACTTAAAATACTCAGAGATCTTGAAGAATTATATTTCATTAAATATTTAATAAGATTTACTTGAATTTAAAATTTTTTCATTTATTTTGCTAACATTTGGAAATGTTTTAGTGGTATTTGTTAAGAAATTGTGTAGGTTGGATGTTGACTAGCATGCAGTGTTCTATTAATATATTTGCCTTTGTGGTTTCACAATTATGTTATTGTAAGTGTTTTTGAGAGTACATTTTAGTTAATATAGTACATACATATTTTTCTTAGTTTTAATCAAAGGTAAAATGGTTGGAAAATATAATCACTTGTTTTCCAATTACATCTTATAGAAAGAATAAGTTAAGAAATGTGAATAAATTGAACAAATTAATAAAATATTAATCTACCTTATGGAGGATTTTAAAATAATTTTAATTATAAAATAATGCATTTTATTATAGTTCAGAAATAAAAGTCCTGCTCCCCCTCTACTATCAGATAGCTCAGGTACATTCTTAGGGTAGCTACTGTTAACAGTTTCTTCAATAGCTTTCCAGATATGTTCTGTGCATATACAAGTATATATGTATGGGTATATATATGAGCGTATGATGGAATTGTGCATACATATACACAAGATCTACATATAGTCTTTTAAAAAGTACTAATGTACTTTTATATTGTACTTTTATAAGGTGTTGTATAAGGTATGATATGAATTAAGTATATTCTCCATATACCTTGGGAAAAGTGGGTAAATTGATGTGCACGATAAAAATGTCTTCTTTTATGTTTATTTGAAGTTTTTTTTTCTGATCTAGTGGCATAGAAGTAAAGTTTCTTGAATGTAGTTTAATAACAGTTATATTTTTAAAACCTTATTTTTATGAAAACAAATTTTTAATTTGTGTATAATATTTTATCCTTAATATATGTTCTTTATATCCATCATACTGAAAATAGTGGGTTATCTTTGGGGAGCAGGATTATTGTGAATGTTGCGTGTGGGGAGGACAGGCATTCTCTTATTTCTATACTGTGATACCATATTGTTTGAAGTGGGTCTTTTTCTAAGCAATGAGTATGTTCTACTTTTATTAAAATGATGATAGAAAATGATTTTAAAGCATGTGGTGACATAAAGGCATGTTTTTAAAAAATATTCTCAAAACTGAGCTCATCGTGTGGCTTTACTAATTTTGGTTTCAGGCTTGTGTGGACATAAGGGCCAGTTCAGTGTTTTGGCAGCAAATGGAGTTTGTCGATAGCCTGCATGGCCAACCCAAGATGCCAGAATGGTTATCTACACACCCTTCTCATGGCAATCGAGTTGAGCACTTGGATAGACTTATACCTCAGGTGAGCTGAAGGTATTTTAGAAGGAAGGATATTATTTTTACTGTATCATTTATTTGTAATGCTGTCACTTCTTTTGCTTGGTAAAAAGAGTACTAGTCTATTAACTGTTTTGATTACTGTAATTATGGATGATTAGTTTTCAAAAAGTTTGACTGAAAAGCAAAATTCTGCTTGTCCACAAGTCTTAGAGAATAAATTACTGTGTTTGATTGACTTTTCTTACTAGTGAAGGTTTAACCCTTTTAATCTGAGGCTTTAATTTTAACTGACTTGATGAAAGTTGAAAACTCAAGGCATATTACATTTTTTAAACATTGATGATAATTTAATCTTTCCTCGATTTAAGCTTTTTGTTAAAAATACCAGTTAAGGAATTGTGTAAAAGTTTTGGGTCAAGTGGATATTAATTGTAGTAGTGATGCTGGAATTTGTTTTTTTTTAGGAAAAATGTCTTCATGTTAGTTTGCTTCTGGTTGTTTATTTCTTTATAAAGTTAAGAGTGAACCATTTGCTCTCTGGCTTTTCTTTTTGTAGAATTCATTAGTAGGTCAAGCTGAGGCAGCTTTCTTCCAAGTAGTTTTCAGTATCCTCTGAAAGGCTTTTGATTTGTTGACATCATTCCAGATGGGTTTCATGGTTTCCATATCAGTACAAAATGGATATTAGGCATCTCTGAGCCAGCTTACACACTCTCTTCTATCTCACTTGTATTAAATTTTGGTGGCTTGTTATGAAAGCAGAACAATTTTTTAGCAATTTAAGAATTGGTAGTGGGCCATGTGCTAATGGATAGCACAATAGATCCAGGTATATTATAGAAATAACTTTCTCATGCCTGTAGTCCCAGCCCTTTGGGAGGCCAAGGTGGGTGAATCATCTGAGGTCAGGAGTTTGAGACCAGCCTGGCCAACTGGGGAAACCCCCGTCTCTACTAAAAATACAAAAATAAGCTGGGCGTGGTGGTGTGCGCCTGTAATAGCCACTCAGAAGGCTGAGGCAGGAGAATCACTTGAACCCTGGAGGCAGAGGTTGCAGTGAGCTGAGACCGTGCCTTTGCACTCCTGTCTGGGTGACAGAGTGAGACTGTCTCAAAAAAAAAGAAAAAAAAAAAGAAGTCTCTTTCAGTATGACTTCAAATTCAGCCCAACAAATGAACAAATATTGAGTACCTCTTAAAAGAAAGAAATGATGCTAAATGTGGGGTATACAAAGAGGAATAAGACATGGTTATTGATATTTACAGGATGCTAAGATACATACAAAATGATTTTTAATTCAAGGATGTGATTTATCCTGAGAAAAATAAAAATTTAGTGGTATGCAGTTTGAAAGAAGATGAATCTGCATCTAGTTTGGGATAAGAAACTAGTACAAGATTTATCCATTCATTCATTTTATCAATATTTATTGATACTTATTGATAATCTACTATTCTATATTCTCTTGCTAGGGAATGAACAAATAACACAACAGTCTGTTCTCTTGGAGTTAACATTCTAGTTAAGTAATGCAAATAAGAAACAAACATATAGTATGCCAAGCAATAATAAGCACTTTGGGAAAAAATAAAGCAGGTGAAAGGTATTAGAGAAGGGCAGGCAGCAGAGAAGGGGTACTAGTCTATGTTCTGTTCTCAAGGAAGGCCTCGCTGATCAGTCTGGAAGGAAGCACGGGAACAAGTCCTGTAGCTGTCTGGAGGGAGAGGGAGCCTTTCAGGCTGAGGAAGCTGCTCATGCAGAGGACCTAAAGTGAGAGTGTGTTTGATGTGTTCAAGGAGTAGCAAGGAAGACATTGGGGCTGAAGGGAGGAAAGGAGAGGAAGAACAGTTTAAGATGAGGTGAAGGGGGACCAGACCACGAAGGTTCTTCTAAGCCATTGTAAGAACTTGACTTTCACTTCAAGTGATGGGGAAGCTAGTCAAGGATATTGATCAGAGGAGTGACTTGATTTGACTCATGTTTTATTGTGATCACTGGCATTACTGTGTGGAGAGTAGACTGTAGTGGGCAATGATGGAGTCAGGGAGATTATTTAGGAGACTCTTATCATAATCCTGGTAACAGATGACAGTGGCTTGGACCAAGATACCTGGTAGCAGAAAATGGAGAGAGAATTGGTCAGATTCTGGATATATTTTGAGAGGAGTGATGACAGGATTTGTTGGTAGTTTAGGCATACTTCGTTCTTTTTGTGAGCATTGAGGACAGTCGAGCATGGCTTCTTAACACCTATTTTAGTTTGTTCAGGTTGCTGTAACAAAGTAACATAGACTGGGTGGCTTATAAACAACAGAAACTTACTTCTCACAGTTGGGGAGGCTCTGAGATCTTAGATCCGGTTTCAGCAGATTTGGTATATACTGAGGACCTACTTCCCAGTTCATAAACGGCCATCTTCTTATAACCTCACATGCTAAAAGGGGCAAGAAAGTTCTCAGTAGCCTCTTTTATAAGGGCACTAACCCATTTATGAGGGCTCCACCCTTATGACCTAATTGCCTCCCAAAGGCCCTCACCCCTGATGCCATCACATTGGGAGTTAGAATTTCAACATATGAATTCTGGGGGGACACAGACATTCAGTCTATGTCAGTATCTATCTTAACTAGATTTAATTTATATTCTTAATTTGAAGAAAAAATATTTGAGAAAGAAATAGCAGTGAAATTTACCTGATACAAAATGTAGTAATTATTCCTCTTAAAAGGGTAGTATAGGCATGGGACATCATGTATTTAATCAGTAACTGATTTTACTGAGGATCAATGACTATAAGAGGTCCCTTCATGCTATCCAAGGCCCCACGGACTTTATTGCACCTTGGAAGGCCTGCCTATCTCTAAAGGCATAGTAACAGTATGATTTCCTCCTGGATTTTTTTTCTTTTCATTTTTGCTCAATGAAATTCTAAAAATATGTGGTTTGTTTAGAATGTTTAAATTGGATAATGAATTCTGTTAGCCAACTTTTAATGTGAAGACTTCTAAATTCTGAATTGTCATTTCATCATCAAATTACTGAGCATTTTTAGAGGGGTAAAAACTGTGCTTTAGAGAAGTCTTTAATAATGAATTGATTAGTGAGTAGGAAGAAAAATGACTAAAGAAACAAATGTTATTTGGGAGCCAGTGATGAAGGCAAAGACATGAGACATTTTTCTTCTAAAAATAAACTATCCTAGTTCAGAAACTTAATTTGAAAACCTCATATAATTTCTTATATTCCCCACCCCAAGTGATTAAATTCAATTTGAAGGTAATAAAACTTTATTGCAATATTGGGAGTAACTCAGTGGTTGAAGTGAAACTGATAGTACACAGGTATATTGTTAATTAGAATACACAGTCATAACTCAAAGATTGGAATTCCTTATTATCATAGTCTAATTTCTATAATGAAAGAAGGCAGTTTCTCAGGCAGTATATAGAATTAAGTGAGTCTTTATACTACTACTACGTTTTAAAATTATATTTTATGTAGCTTTTTTTTCCTACGCAATTGAGTGCATTATGTTCTACGTAAGGATTCTGCCCTTCGACATCTCTAGCAGTTTGGTGAAGGGATGTTCCCTTCAAAGGCAGTTGTGAATACAGCACTAGAGAGCACAGACTGGTCCAGGCCAGAGATGAAGATTTCAGAGTTTCAGAGTCATCTTTAAAAAAAGCGATAGTTGAAGCAATGAGAATGGATGAGTTCATGTAGGAAGTGATTAGAGAAAAAGTTCAAAGTAACAGTATTACATATTTTCCACATTTATGGGTGGGAGGAAGACAGAGCCTATGTTGGATCAGATTCATAGAAGGAGAACCAAGAAAGTAGGATTCTGTGATTAGAACACAAATTTTGATCATTTGATTTTTAAACTTCAGCTTATTGAAGGTTGTGTATTTTTATTTCTTATTAGATCCCTTGAAGAGCGTCACAAAAATATATTGTTTCTTACTGTAGCTTATCAACTTTTAAGATGTTTTAAATATATTCTTTATGCATTCAACAAATATTTATTGATCACCTGTTATATGCCAGGTTGTAGGTGATATTAATAGACAAAAATCCCTGTCCTCACGAAGCTTATTCTGCAATAAAGGGAGACAGATAGTAAATTTGGTACTGGGAGCAGGAGTAGGGAGCAAACGAGAGGGAGAGACAGCTCTCTCATATCTCTTCTTATAAAACTACTAATCCTGTTGGATCAGGACCCCACCCTTAAGACCTCAATAAACATTAGTAACTTCCTTTAAGGCCTTATTTCCAAATATAGTTACACTGGAGGTTGGGACTTCAAAATGTGAATTTTATAGAACACATGAGTCCTTAGAAGACAGTTATGTGTGAGCAGAGATGGGAGAGGTGCTGGAATACCAGTGTAAAATGAGGTCAGTCATCAACCAGAGAAGGTTTCACTGAGAAGCTGATACTTGGCCACAGACTTCAAATAAGTGAAAGAGCCAGACTTGTGGCTGTCTTGGGGAAGAGTTCAAGGCCATGAGGCAGGAGCAACAACAACAAAACCAGTGTGGGTTTAATGGGGTGAGCAAGGGAATGGGGAGGGCATGAGGCTTATCGCCCCTGTAAGGACTTTGGCTTTTGTTCACAGAGATGGTACACTGGTGGAGGGATTTGAGCAGAGGACTGGAGGAGTGACAGGGTTGCTTATGTTTGATAAGGATGTGACTTAAAAAGCAGTACAATAATATAGTTTTGGATCATTCTAGCATAGTATATTGTTCAGAAAATAGATTAGTTCCTTTTTTGCTTTGTTTTTAAGTCAAGATAACACATTAGAAAAAGAAGCAAACCTTTTTTCACATTTGCATTTTTTTAAATGTGAATTTCAAGATAAAACATGTAGATTGCCTGGTTAAATATAATCTTGTGATGTACTAACATTTAAAAAGGATAAATACAGGTTTGTAGTAATATTATTTGTAGTTAATAAGCTGATATGTTATAATTTTATGTACTTGAAATAATCAGTTAAACACATACTCCATATATTTT